CGTTTAATGACTTTTGAAAGGGTTCTGTTAATTTGAAAACAACTCCATATTCCATCGTACATGACCCTTCAACATGTCATACGGTTTGTACACATCAGCAGCCCTACTATCTTTTCCATCATAATCCATTCATTACTTCCACCCCGCATTAAAATTCGAGGATTTTGGCCGCCCCGTGTTTTCCACGGTTCAGACTAGCCTAGTACTTCAGAAATTATGGTTCGGCCTACCAACGACCAGTGATGTAGCGCAATTAGGAAAGACGTGCCTATAGTAAGGGAACAAGGAAGTCCGTGTTGTGTGAGTAGTCAAGGGGGAAGATCGCGCCGTGTCGTCGTTTCGGTGCCGAACTGATGCTGGTGTTAAACTGTGTTTATTCTGAATTAAGGCTCGCTTACATAACAAGCCACATAACACCTCTCGGGCTTACATAACACCTTCCTGATCATACATGCTGACCCGCGGGGGTAACGAACAAAGCCCAGACAAAGCCGGGATAAAACAAACAAGGAAGTCTGGCGTCGTCATTAAGAGCCGGCGCTGCTTCTCGGAACATTTGGGGGCCATACGAGCGTCCGATCACTCGTAGCATCAACACCTCCATTAATCATCATATTCGAAAAACGGATTTTTTGATCTTCAGATATTGCCAATTTACATTCATGGGACCATCTCTCGCCCCTTACAGGCCGCAAAAAATTTTTTATCTGTGTAGCCCACTTCGACCGCCTCACTTGCATCGTTCACTTCTGAATCAGCCTTTGAATGGCCGTTACTTATCATTCGTTTGCTTTTATTAATTTTATCACCAAGTGTCAAAGATTAGCCCATTCCGCTCCGTTTTTCGTTTATCCATCCAAAAGGTGGCAGCAAACGCTGGCAGCAACCACTCATTGGTAAAGTTGGCAATGTCTTCCTCTTTTGAGGGTTGCTTAGAAATAACGTAATGGTGGGCATGGCGCAGGGGGAAGTAGTATTGCCGTCGTGCTGAGGGTCGAAGATTGGACTCTGTGAGCCAGACCTTTTAGTGAATGGATGAAAATTACTGACAGTTCCTTTCAATCGCTTATCCAGGGCCAAAAATTGAGCCGCTTACTTTGATATTCCTTGAAATGGACCGATAAAACATTTAATTGAAACCTTTTGGAACAGTTAGATCAGAATATAAGAGAGAGGATGGAATGATACTGTCCAGCTACATGTTTTTTTTCAGGGCTGAATCCAAAGGTGTTGATCCGGCACAGCTGGAAGAACCGAAAAAGCTTGAGAACAGGAAAAGAAAGAAGAAATCTTTCAAAGATTACAGTTAGTTTTGGTGGATATAAAAGATATCGTAGAATGAGTTGTTCGAAGCGTAATTGTTATCCTTTGAGAGAATGTTATGGCTTTTTTTTTAACGCTTTTCCACGTGTGTTTATGAGTTTTTCCACGTTTTTTCACGTGTACTTATGGTTTTTTCACGTTTTTTTCACGTGTACGTCCCCCGTTCATTTGTTTCGGTGGTAGATTAGCACTGGCACATGCCAGGGAGTTGAAACCATCATCAGCTTGCTTCTAAGCGGTTCTTCAAAGCGAGCGCTACCGAGGATTTTGGGAGTTGTTAGCATATGTTACTACTTGGGCTACTTCTTGTAGAATGTGAAAACAGAGGGGAAAGGAGAATTTTTCATGTAATTTGTTTAATTTTCAATATTACCGTGTGTTGTTGATTTTACTGTACTGTTGCCGTAAAAGTTTAAAAAATAAAAATGTTGAAAGGAAATCGTTTTTAAGCATTTTTGCTATGCCGTGCTATAGCGCTGCTACAGTGAGCAAAAACGCATAATATCTACTTCTCATGTAGAAAATATCTCATGTATAAATGAATTTTATATGTTATTTCCATTTAATTTTGACATATTATTGTAAAAGCAGA